GCAGTGGACGATGCCATCGTCAAGGCCACGGACCCCGATGACATCGACGAGAGTGATCAGGTGGAAGATGCTGCGACCGTGGAGGGACCGAAGGTTTATTCAGTCCAAGATTTTACCCGTGGGAAAATCAACAATCTGCTGGAATTCCTGGAGTGCCTGCCGGCGCAGTTCAAAGAGAAGGGGCTTGACTTGGTCGGGGAGGCCAAGAAGAAGGGCTACACTTGGGCTCACATCGTCAAGCGGTCCCCAGATTATTTCGATGTTCTTTTGCCTCCTGGCCCGGGATGCAGCTCGAAGCAGTACTCGAAGGGGGTTGTCGGGAAGCTTCTGCAGCTCCAGGCCGGTGATACGAAAACGATCTTGAAATTCTGCAAGGACGTGGACGAGCTTGCTCAGCCGATGCTTGTAGGCATCTAGCCCTTTGAAGTGTTTAACTGTTGGAGCTTTGGCTACATCACAAACCCTGAACATCTAGCCCGTGCGCCCCAGCCCGAAAGCCCTAAAACTTGCACTCCAGACCTCAAGAGCCTTAGCATCCAAAAAACCGGTTTAAAACCGCGAAGCAAACAGCAGTCGACAAAGTCCTGCTGAGAACCACGGACGTGGGCTGGGGGTCGCAAAAAGGAGAGTCCGGAGCCTCGCATTTTGTGTCATGCAGCTTGTCTGTCATTGCTTGCTCACGTCATGCCGTATGCATACATACACATACATACCCCCCAAGACCCTTTGGGAACAAGCCTCAGGGACGTAGCAAAGTGCAGAATCCACTTTCCCACGTCCCCCCACCTCAAAACAGGGGGGATGTTCCGACTGGATCTGACAAATCCAGCTTCTGAAGAGGCGCTGCAGGTCGTTTGCACGTCTTGACACATTTCTGGGGCTCAGCAACTCTAACTCTGCTGCAATCTCCACTTGCTACAATAAACTATGCCTGTATGCCACAAGCCCTCAGCCCCAAACCTCAAGTCGCTGCAAATCCTACACGCACAACACACGAGTGACATGGGAGATCTTGAGGTCCGCGACAAGCACGAGTGGTACAAGGCCGCCCCGCATCGGCCCAGCTTGCTTCAAGCGGCGGTTTGCAGTCCTCAGTTGTGCCACTATTTGTGGGTTCGCTGGGTCGTGGCCCCTTGTGGCAGGGGGAGCAGTTGCCGAAGGGCATCATCGCCCGCACCCGCAAGGATGCTCGTGCTTGTGCCGTCTCGAGCAGTTTTGAGCAGAATTCACAAGCTGGCACACAACCGTAAAGCCCTGCACGAGTCCAAATCGGTGTGCGCCAGGAGCGCAATCGCGACCCTGGCTATCGTTGCAGGGCTCCAGAGATTTCCGGTGTTGGGTTGAGCACCAGTCGATCGGTGCTGCTGTTTCGGTGTAGCCAATGTAGTTTTGAGCATAGTAAAAACTATCATCACAGAACGACCATGATCATCAGCAGCACCTCCAGGGTCTGCAGACCATCGCCATTGTCGTAGCCGTCATAGCCCGTGTCATGACCGTCATCAATCATCATCAGCAGAAGCACCATCCTCGCAATCCCACGGCACCAGTACTACTACCACCACTGCCGCCGACAGCAAGCCCCCCTCCCTACGTCCAGCTGGTCGAACAAGCCACAGGCAGCTTGCTTCACATAATACGAGACGCTTAATTCGCGCTGGTTCATGTGTGAAAGCAGAGCTGTGGCAATGTGCCAGGCAAGGATGGCAGCTACATCAAGTTCAGTGAGAACTCCTTCGTTTGCATCTCGAAGAACAAGGCACAACACAGACTACCAAAGCACTTGAGGAGATACCATCGTCGCTCTCTCGACTGTTTTCCTAGAGCCTCGATCTAAGCCTGCAAGATCCTGCAACCCCTAAAGCTGACCAGAGTCCCTACACCCCGGAAGCTCAACGCTCCCGAACAAAAGCGATGTTTCCGAAGAAGTCCTGAACTCTCAGCCCCAAAAGCTCTTCAAGATCTGAGTCGTCCCGGCTTCGGAGGCGAAGGGGACGAAGATCAAAGGCCCGCTTTGTTACGAGATCCAGAACAACTGTCTGCCCGACACTGCTTGGGCGGGGTTCGTACCTTCCCTGGCCGCAAGGTTTCGGAATGTAGGTGTATGATGCTTTGGGCCGTTGAGTTTCAAGCCTTGGGAGCAGCGCTGGGTGCTGCAACATCTCACATAAACATCTCTTACAGACACAAGAGACGCCTGAGAACCTTCCGAGGCTTCAAGCTTCAGCCCTCATGATGCCAGGTAAGTCACTCGCCCGATGGATTTTCTGAGCTCTTGCCGGCAAACCGCCAACATTACGCTTCAACCCGGCAAACGTTGAAAAGCATTCGCGCGCATGCCGAGAGAGTGCAGGTTTTGAGTGTAAGATGTGGGAATTGAATCGTTTCGGGTTTGCTTAAAACGCTTCTGGTCTTCCGGGTGATCGAGGGCAGTGCCGAGCACAACGGATTTCGGCTCAATTTTGTTTATCTAGGTTTTGGGCTAGGATCCGTTCAAAGGATTCCGGGACTCAGTTCTTATGCGCTCCGCCCTGATGCAACAAACTGACGCAAGATCGTAAACCTGATAGGGCCCGTGCATCGCAGGGCCTCATGAACTTGCATGTCAGCATCTGCAGTCCCCAGAAACCTTCCAGATCACAAGTCCGCTTGTGCTGGGTGCGATGCTGCTAGCATTTACCACCCAGCCATCTAGGGCTCAGTCAGATATATTCTCAAAAACCACCGCACGCAAGCACTTTCCAGGTCCTGTGTGTTTTCGGTACCGTATGATAGTTTGTTCCATGTTGCCTCCGATTCGGCATGCGCCTTCCCACGAATCACCAACCTTCTGCTGCAGTTGGCCACGCCGGCTCGCAGCCAGAGCTGCCAGTCCCAAGTGTCATGAAGAGAGAAGCAGAGAACCACAAGGATCTTTACAAAAGGACTCCGCAAGCAGAGCATGTCGCAGCCAGACTGTCAAACCTTCAGCTTAAGAGCTGCTTCCATGACAAGCGTCGGTGGGAGTTTCAGGGCTTCGGGTAAACAAGTCGGGCGTTGGACATCGGGCTTACGGCCTTGGCCTAGGTTAGGGGACTTAGGGGCCAGGCGTGGTTGCAGAGGCTGCCAGAGGGAAATTGCAGCACCGGCCCATGGCGGAAGATCAGGCGGATGAGCCTTCAAGCCGATTTGTCCACTCACTTCAGACACTTGTATTCCGGTGTTGGGTTTCCAGGCGCAGATTCGGACTTTTCGGCAGAACTTGAGGGGCGTGAGACAGCTTCTACAAGTTATTCAGGGAGCAGGCTTGGTCTCAAGATGACGAAATCGACGACAAGGGCCCAGCCATCGGCGCAACCATATAGATCACAGCCTGAAGCTATTGACCTACCCTATGGCCGAGGCTGAAGCCTGCGATTCACGCGTGACGCGAGCATCCGGGTTCTAGGTTGAATGTTGGGGTCTTGTGCGAATCAAGACAGCGATAGTTAGAGCCTCATCTGGAAGCCTTTTCCTCAAACCGCAACAGCCTCGTTGGCTGATGGCTTGCAGGAACCCCTTAACTCATGTCAACTGTCCTGAGCCTCAGAAAGTCCCTACCTTCACGAGCTTCGCGTGCATGATTTTTACGGGAGGTCGGAGAAGCGCCTCCTCCACCTCCGCCGGAGGATCACTCGGGGATTCCACATTGGATTGGGGCATTGCTTGATGTTTTGTCGCTGGGTTTCTGCTTTGGGGATCGGGTCCAGGGACAAGTTTGGAAAGCATGACGGAAAGGATGCTTTGTGACAAAGTCTCTCTCTCTCTCTCTATGTCTGTGGTCTAGTTGTCTCCCGTGATCGGCGCTGTGCGCTTCGCTTAGGTTTACTAGTTTGGGCTTCCTGGCTTGAAGTTTGAAGGTCCTTGGCTGGAGCTTCGGGTTTGGGATCGAGTTTCAGTCGCCGCAACTCCTTGAAAGCCCTTAGCTCGCGATATCGCACCAAGGCTCAGAATGCCCCGAAGCTGTGGGACCCTGCATGGCAGATCCTGGTGCTCCGGGGCCCGACCATCCTCAACTCCAACCCACCTTGGCCTTGGCAGGACGCGAAGCCAGCGGATCCGGACGCGCGCGACGATCGGAAGGATCGTGGGACTGAGCAGCAAGACTGACGGAGCCCGGAGTTCCAACAATGATGGCCTCCCAATGCTTCCGGTCAAGCTGAATAAGCATTTTAGCAAAACTCTGGTTATACTGAGCTTTGAGAGTCTCCTCTGAAACGCCACAGCCTCACCTCCAACCATACAGCAACTGCAGCGCAGGGATCAGAATGTCCATGAAGGAATGAGGGGATCGCGAAAGGCTTTCAGCTTTCAGGCTTGGATTCGAGACTCAGCACAGCAGCCGAAATCCTACACAGGACCGTAGCCGCGATCGAGACCGTCGGGATCGAGATCGGCGCAGCCGTGATCGGAGGATCGTCTTCAGCTTGACGCACCGCAAGCCTCTGTAGTAGGTTACTAGGCCCATAGGCAGTTTGAGTTGCCGGCCTTCCGCGCTTGCACCCCTAAACCCTGTTCCCGAAAGACACAGGAAGACAAAGGAGAGTGATAGGAGCCTGGCAGTAGAGCTGATAGAAGGAGTGACGACAGGCTTTCAGCTTCTTCAGGGGCTCAGGACTTCTGGACTCCCAAATTCTGGGGCTGGCCAAGACGTAGGGACGTAGGGCATCAGGAAGCACGTCCGAGGCTTGCAGGACTCAAGGTCAGAACAGCCCCGAGCCTCAAAGCCCCAGCTACACCAAGCTTACATATATATATATATATATATATACATATATATCTACATATACATATTCTACACTAGGTTTTATAGCTTCAGGGCCAAGAGGGTCCCGATGCTTCCAGGAGCCGAGACCGGCGCAGCCGGGATCGCGACCGCCGCGATCGACGCAGCAGGGCCTGGGGCCCGGCCACAGATTGCTACAGCGACAGCAGCCGAGTCGGGGGCATGCCCCCACTGTGTACTTTGGGTATTGGGGCCCATTATTCTATAATTATATTTTGGAGCCCCCAAAATAATGTAGGTGAATGTAGGTAATTTTTTAGGCCTCTAATGGCCCCCACTGTGTACTTTGCAAACAGTTTCTGCGCATCGCGTAATTATTAGAGCTACAGCGTCTTGAGATTTCCAAGCCCCCAGAGCTGCTTACGATGTACTACCGTTTCATCAGTTCTATTTAAACGACAGCAAGCACATTAAGTTTCCATGTCTGCAACAGCATGCAACTGTCCAATTGCTTTACTGTCTGCTTTCTCTCGTTCTCCGAACACCCGGTTCCCGAGCGGCCCAGAGTCCTCGGCCGAGGACCGCGATCGTCGCCGCAGTCGGTGGGGGGGCCCAGAAACGGGGCCAAGACCAGCCTAGGGGAGGATGAAGTTCTCGTACAGCTCGGGAGTTCTTGGTCCGCCGGCGGGGCTGCTAAGTCTTCAAGACTTCACATTTCACCGGCCGGTGTTCATGCTGCAGTCACAGGGGGAAATTGTGAAAGCGGCGGAAGGATAAATGTACGGTCTTGGCGGCTTTAGGACTACGGGCATGAAGTCATGAAGTGCTTCAGGAGAAGGAGGGAGGGTTCGGTTGAAGGCTTTGGTTCGTATAGGCGGGGAAGTTTGTTTTCCCTTTGGTGGGATACTAGAAGGTTAGATCAGTCAGAGCCGGTCTGTGGTCGAAAAGGCGCCGGGCCTTCACTGTACCTAACACAATAACAATAATAATAGTAATCATAATAATAATAATAAGAATAATAACAATAATAAGAATAAGAATAAGAATAAGAATAACAATAATAATAGTAATAATAATAATAATAACAATAATAACTGTACCTAGCACAGTAGGTACAACACATTCGAGCTGTGTGCCAGGTCTCGGTCCCGCGGCGGCCGCGGCCGTGGTGGGGGCTCCCTTCAGGACGCGGAGCAGAGCTCGGGGACTGGGCCCTTTTGGTGCAGGGACTTTGGAGTCGAAGTTTTTGGAGATCACTGGTTGCATAGGTGCTTCAAGGAAGAAATATGCAGGGCCAGGAACCGTTATGGCGATCCTGCTCCGTCTGAAGTTGGGGATTTACAGGCTTCTTCTGTCTCTGGACAAAGGCTCGGAGGTGTCTCGCCCAACACATGCCTTGATTGCATGATGTTGAAACTTATCGTGATTTTGTGCACTAGACTCGTACATCAAGATGTCTTTTAGCAGAGCATTGTTGCTGCGTTCTCTGACAAGGTGGGCACCATCGCCAGACTGACCCAGTGTGTAGCAATTGTTCCTGCGCATGGCGAACAGAAGATGCTCCCGGGGCTTAGGGCGTGTGCAGGCAGCCTGTGTTCAGCTTTTGGAACAGAATACGGACGACAGCTATCTGGATCCGCGCACATGCGCTCGAAAGGCAAATGCTGTCGCCTGTACTTGTTGTTTTGCTCCTTCCTCAAGGCCCTTGCGGAAGGAGGATAAGACCGCAAGCATACAACGAATGAAGACGGACGATCTGAGGGTAAATTCTACTTGCTCTCCAGCTCAGAGGCGTTACGATGTTCATTCGCACAATGACTGTGTCTTGAGATTCAGGGTTGAAGCTTGCAGCACAGCTCTGCCGGGAGTCTTCAAGTCAGGAGCGGCACGAAAGGCTTCGACATACAAGACTTCTAAGCCTTCTCGTCCAAAAAATCTCGTCACGGACGGGTCGTTCCAGTCATCATGCAGACTTTGGTTCCGAATCTTACGTCTGTTCAACTTGAAAATCCCCTAGCGACAGTGTTCTTTGGACAGAGGCGGATCGAGGTTCGTCCAAGAATTGCCTATTCTTTGGCCACCTCGATGAGATCTGTTGCTCAGAGCATTATGCTGTGACGTCTTATTGCGAGGACGAGCTCCGTGCAGATCGCGGCGATGCACCGAGTCCGCCGCGGCAAGAGGCGAAGCAATGTCAAAAGTTTATTGTTGGAAGGGTCAGGGTTCAGGGTTAGTTTTGAAGACTAGTCTGAGTGCGATAGGTAACTATGGGTCGGTGTGTTAAGGGTGCTATGGGCTAGTTCATGAGCTTTGTTTCCATAGGTGGGCACCGCCATGAGATCGATCGCGCTCCAAGCCTTGACTGACATACATCCCCACAGCTTTGGCAAGCCGAGGGGCCAACCCGGAAAATGGAAAGCTTCCACTCCAACGAAGTTTACCCGCCGCCTTCAGCCGGAAATCCCTGTGCTGCTGCCCCGGTCAGGAGAGGGCACCTCCTCCTTCGGACCCGGCACCTCCACCTGAGGATCCGCGTTCGGATGTGGGAAATCTACACGTAGGGTTTACGAATCCTGGCCTGGGCTTGTTTCCTGGATTCCGTGTTCCGGTGCTGGTTGGCAAACTTCGGATTTCAGACTTTAGGCGTGCATGATTCGAGCGCGGCGCAGCAGTGCGAGGTTTCAGAGTCTGACGGGTCTGCGGATGAATTAAACAATGGCCTGCCCACGAAGTAAAGGGGAAAGCCTGGCAGCAGTCGAACATGTAACAGCAATTCCACAAAATCTAGGAAAACCTCAAACCTCAACTATGAACATCAAAAGGCCCGCGGCTGCATGAACGCTAAATCCAGGCAGGAGGAATGTTCGAACTCTCTCACCTACCATGACTTGGCAGGACTCAAACCGCCGGAAGAAGTCTCGCTGGGGAGAGGCGCTTTGGGCTGGAGACACGAACTAATCTGTGAAGCCGATCAAGCCGAGACATCGACATGGCACGCTCCGGGTACGTCATCAGCTCGTCTTTTCAGTCAGTGCTTGGTTCGAAGGGCGTCAGTCTCTGTAGGGCCTTGAGGCTTCAAGGCTATGTCTTTTCCGTGTCCTCGTAATGATGCTGATTCTAGGCAGAGAGAACAGGCTGAACCCGGTAAGGCCGGCACAGCCAGTCCTCGCAATCCCCAAAGGTCCGGGGTGTTTGGGAGGAACTTTAAGCTACCCTGGCGCAACTGGAATAGCCTCTCGAGCCGGCCTCGCGAGCTTCTCAAGCGGGTTCCTGACCTCGGCCTTGCAGGAAGATCCATTGGCCGCCGCAGGCAGCAGCAGCTTAAGACAGCGGCAAGTCTGGTTTTGCCTTGTGAAGCTGCGTGTTTTCCGTTGAAAGGCTCGAGTGTCGATGTGCATACAGACATGCAGCCGTTGGAGCTCCCTGCACTCGAACAGAGGGTTCACATGTCTGTCGAGGTTTATCGGCTTACAGGGTTTTTTCGACATTTTTGCACTTGGCGCGAGGCTTCGTTGTTTCAACTTGAGCTTGACTTGAGTTTAGCCCTCAAGCCCCGAGAGTTGTGGCCCCGAGCGTGAAGATTTATCCCTGAATGCCCAAGTTTGCAGAAGCTCATTTCGCCGAAAGCTTGATGTGCAGGCATCCCGGACTGGCTTCGAGATCAGTTCCAGGCCCAACCAAAACTTACATGTTCACGAGGTGTGGGTGTCTCAGGGGTCGTGTATGGGTTTTATGTCCATTCTCATTTTCTGCCTGTCTGGTCAGCAATTGAAACACATGTTCTCTCCCACAGCACAGCACGCACGCCTCCTCGAAGATTTGTGCGAAGAAGCAGTGACAGTCGCTAGCATCCCACACGAGGGATGCCCCCATCGCTGGGCTCGAATATCCTTCTTCCGGGATATGTGATTTCTGCTATGCCGGTTCGGGGGTGTGCGAGTGGAGCCTTTGGGTTTCCTTCCAGACTTCTTGTGTGGTATGTGGATTGTTTTGAGCGCAGGGCCGGTCTAGGAGTTTGGAGGCTCGGGAAGGCCTGACCTCCTGGCACGCCGCAGCCTTTGATCTCCATGTCTGTTTTCAAGGTCCGGAACCTGAACTAAACATCCGGATACTGCATCAGTGCTCTTCGAAACTGCTCCGGCATCCGTTTCGTCCCCCTAATTTGACTAGCCGAGCCACGGACTGCGACAGTTCGGAGCACTTAAAGCCCCGAAGTTGTGTAAAGCCATTGCACCATGAGTATGTTTGAGTGAGCCGCCTGGTGTAGAAGGTGCCCAAGCTGCCTCCAGAGCCTGTGGTGCGTGCTGGACAGCGAAAAGTCAAGGCCGACGGTCCTCAAGTCTGCGATGTAGCGCTGGATGCATGGGTTCATGGCCCAGACCTTGCATCCTACACCGCGTTCCCGACTGACAGCGCGGGGTTGGGTTTCAGGATGCCAGGCTCAGATTGTTCAGCATCCTTTGCTGCTATTGCTGTGCTATACTTTCTGCACGTCATGACGTGATCTCCCAGAGAACGTACATGTCCTTACTTGATGCAGATCAGCTCATCTAGTGGCTCTGAAGTTGCCTCCACACCTAATTCGATCCTAAAGTCAAAAGCCCTTTGAAGCTCTTGTCCTGACGCCTCGGATCGGCCAAATCCCCTGAAACCACAACGGTGCAGGTCCCTCAGCACTGCGTGGGCAGGATCCAGAGCTCTGCGGTGTTTCGGGATTTGGTCTTAGTTTAGGGTTCAGGTTTTACATGGAAGCGTTGGAAGCACAGTCCCAAATCCTTGAAACTCCACTGGACCTGAGACTGCTACAGGGCTTTTCAAGGCCGATGACTCTGGCTGCGCAGTGGCGTTGCTGTGGCTTCGGTTTTTGATTTGGAATTTTAAGTTCGGCTCCCTCTGCCGTGGCTGGGATTGCGGCGCCTGGCTGTTTCCCGCAGGATTCTCGGCAAGATGGGCGCCACGATCAATGAAATCCAGGAAGCCTCCAATACCGACATTAAGATGAATCAGGAGCTCACTCAGCGCTGGAATTTCAGCGTTCCAAGGGAAGGAGGCAAGTTGGTGGGATTCTGAATGACGTCCTGCGACCTTCAAGTCTGGAAAGGGCCTTTGCAATTTGGAGCAGCCCCTGAAAGATACGGTGCTTTACCGTGCAGGACACCAAGGAAGCCGGCTACAGCTATGCACGGCGTCTCAGGGAGAGTGCGGCGTTCGGGTTTTTTGCTGCAGCCCTGAGGCACTGCACATGGTTTCGGCTTTGGTTTTCGGTTTTTTGCTTAAATCATCGTCCAGGATGTCTGATTTGGGCGAATGACTTGTGAATGCATGACCATTGCCACCAGGATATGGGACTGGATGTGGGTAAGCAGAAGGCAAAACGAAGTCTTCAATGTCCGACGCTCTTCGAAATGCTACCCTTTGCTCATGAAGTTTGCAGGTCCAGACTGTTGGTTCTATCCCGCCATCTGATGTCACTGTATCCCTGAGCCTTTTCATCATCATCTCGATTACACAGGGTCTAAACACCAAGGCGATTGTCACCAGCATCAAGAACGTCGAGGCCTGCCGAGCTTGGCGAGATGTCTGGGCTCGAGAGACTCTACGAGTGTGATGGTCTCAGCTGGGCGCGACGCCCAACATAGTCTGCTGGAGCAAGAGTCGCACTTTTGGAGCCGTGTCCGTTGGGAAACAAGCTGTGCTACAGGAGTTGCCACGACCCATGCAAAGCTACACCCTGCACCGATATTCAAAGCTTTTGGGACATCTTGTGTACCCCTGGGCAAAAGTAGGTACCGCACAGCCCGAAACCGCAACCGCTACACTTGAATGTCATTCGGATCTCGAAGGCGGATCTTGATACTGCTGAGCGACTGATCAACGAGAAGATCGCCGGCGGAGGTCGCATCAGGGGTTTGCTGGGCTGGGAGGTTGGCGTAGGAGTTACCGGACTTGGAGGGGTTTTCAAGATTGTCGTTTCACGGCGTGGAGTTCGCAGCTCAGGTTATTCTAGAGCCTCAGGTTCGCAGGTACAGAGGATTCAGCTATGACTTCAGCAGAAACCTGACCCATATTTGATCAAGTTGCAACGACTCTGCTCGCACGCAAGGTGGCGGCGGCGGAGGAGGAGGAGGAGGCGTGATTCGCGTGATGGATCATGCTTCGACTTAAAAGCCTGTCAGGAGGGCTTCTAGGACTTGGTTCGGTGCTGCGTTGCGATCTTCCAGGCAAATCGAAGTATCGGAGGCTTCTGTGTGTGGTGTCTAGACTCTAGACAAAACCGGCTTTTCTCATATACGGAGTGTATGAGCAGGCTGCGGAGATCGAAAGGGAACTTGACGGTTCCCACTTCTGGGGATGGCATTGAGGGAGTGTCTGGTCTCCGGCCTCGGGATTCTGCAGATTCTCCATCGCCCTTCCCTTAGATTCAGGGTTTACCAGAGAAGTATGCTAAGTTCGCTTGGCAGACCGAGCCAGCAAAGCCAGCACCATGTGCCGATCTCGCGACATCTTGCGACCAGGGTCCCAGTGCGTAGGTGTAAGAGCAGGATTTCTTCTCCTGCTGCGAGTCCAAATGCTCCGACTCCGATTCGTT